CTACTCATGTAAGTCAGTGTAAATTAGAATGTAAATAACATTTGTTACCTCCATCCCCACACCAGATATAATAACCAATGCCCGATATAACATCGCCTCCCTTAAGTCCTCCAGGAATCTGAAAAGAAGTAACGGAAGTCTGAGTTAAGATCTGTCAATTCACAACCATTATATCAAAACCAACCAAACATTGAGGCAACGTGTCGTCATTCACATTAACTTATCCGAAGACAAGTAGTTACACTTACAGTAAGCATACTGATCTCCCCGGTTCCCTAAGAAGTATACTCCATCTAATTTACAAAGATATTCTGACTCACCTCAGTTGAAAACTTCAGTGAAGTTAGATGAACGATCTACTTATCATGGAATGAGGCTATACATAGTAAGATGAACATCTACGTCCGTTGGTAGAAGTGTGATTGTTAATAACTGCATTGTCGCTGAACGTGAATTTGTTGTTCCTTTGTGGAATTGTATTTATGTGCCTACTTATATCAATTGCCGTTCATTTCTCAACAGCAATCATTCCACAATTTGTTCTGATTACCTCGAAACAAACAAGACGGATTCAGTTTAACACTCATAAAATTTATCATCTCACCGGCCAGTTCTAGTCATCCAGTATTTATTGTATTCCAAATCGATAAAATTCTAAATAGTGACATTCGAACAAATACAATCTGAGAAGCGATCACGATGTTAACAACATCTCTCTCGAAATATTCAATTATGAACTTTTCTAACAACTGGTCTGTGGAAGTCTGAAAATGACCGTTCACGTACAGAACTCTGACATACACTCTTTGTCGTTAATTGGATCGTAGGTATCAGAATTCGGTTACATATTACATCACTTCTCTGTTGTTCATTATTTTATAAAAAGTGCTAGAATAAACTGTGTCATGAACGGATTATGAGCAGTTTCATAAAGTCTGTATGCACAATACAAATTGCTGGTATCGTTTTATCCTTTTCAATATATTTCGATGTATTTGACTGTACTGATATGCATGAAATAATAGAATAATCCATTCATTTGTGCAACTTACATTCTCATAATAAAAAGATATCTTCCCATTCGAGTGTATCAGGTACATTGCCTTGAATGTATCATCTGCAGAAAAGAAAACTATCGACATTTAAAATTTCAAGGATTAGTGCCGAGTATGTCATTGCTAGATGTGACATTGTATGTGCCTACACACACAAGGGGATCAGATGTTAGCAGATATTTACTGTGTTATCTCAAATGTTTTCGTAATGAATATAATCTCGTGAATGTTGTGTAGATGAAGTAAGCATGTATCCTTCATAATGAATGTCAGATGCTTAGTTTCTCTAGTTTTCATATTCAAACAATAAATCATCTAGTTTCTAATTGGATCTGATAGTTGGAGTGGTATTCAAATTGGTGGAATATTTCCTTTATTTCAGCTGATACAATCGACTCTAGGCTTAAGTGAAATGGGCTGCTGTTTGTTTGTAATCCACATTATGTGTTAAAGATGAGAAGTGAATACCCTTAACACGTTCTGTTTTAACGAACTCTTAATTTGAAAGAATAAAACTTAAGAATGATCGTATAATGAGTGAATATCCAGATGAATGTGATGTATACAGAAATGATTTTCCGATGAACACATATGTACAGACTTGTCATCATGTTCCTTTGAAACTTGTCAATGAAGATGAATCACTGTATTCATTTATCTACAGATGAAATATGATTATGACCTAATGAATTCAAATATGTATCGACAATCGATGGATTCTATGTGTATTTAGCCATTGATTTCGTAGAATGGTTACACTTGAATACTTTCGTCAGGTTTTTTAAAAGACGAATTCAATTGCTCAAATGGAATAGAAAACAGTTGAGTAATAACAATCAATGATGATGATGATGTAAAGTGTTAATAGTTCACATGGGATCAAACAATCATGGATATGTATACATACTTGATTTTTATCAATTTCTATAGGACATAATTTTCTGACAGCGAGAAATTCCTCTGAAATAATGAAAGTAAAATAAATTTGTGTTCCAGTATCTGTATTATGAATATTGACCTCTTTCAATAAAGATACACTTTTTCTAACACAAAATATGTTTGAACACAAGTTATGATGTTCCTTTTCAACATTGAAGTGAACCAATTCAACTAAATTAGAGTCTCAATGATCTGGGTTCTGAAAAGTTGGGCTTGTAAGCATTTGGCTAACTAAACAACCATTAATATCTATTCGACAATAAACATACATAATCATCTTGTGAAATTCTGTTATTCCAATTGAACAGTATTCTCTTAACTGAACTAATGATTGCCCGGGAATGTTACCCCAATGACATTAATTTCGGTAAGTGAATGAAAAGAATACCCTTCATCTTGATATTCTAGGTGTTCCAGTTCAAATCAATCATGTTGTACTAGCACATTATTCGTGATTGTTAGTTGATTGGATGGTTGAGGTGGTGCATGAGTCCAAACTTCATGATTAACCGGTTATGATAATTAAGATTGCGTTCAATATCCAATAGTTCAACGACAGTGAATAAGAGGGACTGAATTTTTAAGAACCAAGTAAGTGACAGAAAGATTTGGAGGACATCAAATATAAATCGTTGATAGTTCATGTGCTTCAATAATCCAAACTGATTTCTTACACAACATTGCTTATTGTTGCATCTGTGATCAGCTTGATTCGTCCAATCTATCAAGAAGTGTCGTATTGATGAAATATCAGTTTTATGATAGTTTGAACAGATTGAAGAGTAGATAATTTGCACCTTCGCATTCACATCGTTTGGTTTATTATTTCTACTCCATCAATTTGTGTCTACTTTGAAGTGAATCACTGTTTTATTTAACATTTTCCCTTCACAGTAATGAAAACATGTTGTGAACACATTTTTGGGGCATGAGATCACACAAATAAAATAATCACTGTGTACTGACCAGCTCTCATGAATTCATCAAGTTAAATACTGAATCATTTATGCAAAATAAAAATGAGTAATGTAAAACATAAAACAAAAACACGTCACTGTATAATAGAAGTACTTACTCCCATTCAAAATCTCAACTTCACACTGAACATTGCCGGTGATATGATTGAAAACAAAACTCGTATCTTCTCTTTCTTGAAAATAAGTTATTCCTGTGTTTATCAAATGAAAATATACAATTTGAATGAATTGCGTGAACTGTAATTAGTTTACTCCTACGGTACAACTTGAACAAGGAAATACATTAGCAGATGTATTGAATGTGAAACAAAAAATGCCTAAAACTGATCTATTGAAGTAATGAAGGCGACTTTGATTCATGGAATTGAAATGTGAGTAAACAAATCTTTAATTCGAGGAAAAGAATTCTCTTACCATTACTATCTTTATTGAATGTGCGAACATCAGCACCGTAAAATGTAAAGGGGAAATTCAGATCTATTTTCTAGAAATATGCAAACATATAGATTATCATCTCCGTTGGAAAATGTCGTTAACTCACCTCCCCAACAACCGATTTGTTAAAAGTTCCACTTATCATTGGAGGGGATTGATTAAGGCGAATGAACTGGGAATAGTGATAAGAATGAGACTGAATATTTGTAATGCAACTTGACTGATCACTTACATATTTATGTGTAGCAGTTTGAAAAATTACCTTTGTTTTACTAAATAAAGCGTTTCCACAAGATTCATGACAGTTGAAAGATTCCGATGTGAGGACAATGATTGAATAGATCGTTACCAACTGACCAAATGAAAATGTAGATCTGAAATGGTTCAAATGAATAGAACAGTGTTATCTCATTAGATCAAATTGAAATGGATATAATACAATCATTTGACTTAAGTGTACAGTCATCACTCACATCATTTTCTTGTTTTAGACGTTGGTAGAACGTGTTGAGTCTTATATGGAATTTTTTTGAAGTGTTTGTATGTTTCAGATTGGATGATTCAAATTGACCATTAGGATGATCGAATTTCATAAAATCATTTCATAATTATTAACCAATCGTCATAAGAGATGAACTCATGGTTATGCCATATTCTTACACGTATTGAGGTAATATAGTCTGATATTGATCCATAGTTGATTGAAATTCCTTACCCCCCCCCTTATTGATGAAAACTATTTTGCATAGGATTAACAATATTTTAAACTAAGTAATTAGTGCTCTTATTTTCATGAACAAACAAACCAACTGTGAGTTGGTTGTCAACGCTGCATAGTTTTGATTCGATTGGTTAAAATTAAAGTAACACACACTATTTTCATTAGATGACCAAAGTTCACATTTGTAAGTTTAATTTTTATTTCAATAAAATGAATTCTTTCACTGGTTGAAACTATGGGTCAATTGAGGCTAGATCACCACGAAAAACCTAGAATAACTTGACTGCCGTTCCACAGCAGTGCGCATCCACGATCCCGCCCACCGCGAGATCCGTACCCAGGACCGATCAGTCTCGCACGCGAGCGCTCAACCATTAGACCACTGAGCCGGCCAGCATCCTACAGTGTTCATGTCTAACTTCAACCAATCCACGAAGTTGCGCCACCGTCACTATTGTCTTCAGTGAGTTGATATCTGACAACAGACCTGGTTGAACTTCAATGGTGGTGGTTTCTCACTAGAACTCTATGAGTGTCTCTTGATGTCAGTCGCTTGTGAGCAAATGATTATTATCAGGAAGGGTTTTGTGCACGCGACGCTGATATGTCCTGGGTTCGAATCTCACGAGGCGCGGGATCTTGGATGTGAACTGCTCAGGAGTCCCAGTCTAGGATGAAACAACCGTCCAGTGCTTCCAGGTTTTCCATGGTGGTCTAACTTCAATTGATTCATGATTTCAATCAATGGAATGAATAACAGTCCATACTTTCGTAAATCAATTTTCATTTCATTGCAAAACGCCGAGACTATTTATGTTTTGATTACATTTGTAAAATGGTAATTCTCGATACTATGAAGGTGAATTATGCACTTCAAAAAGACGATGATGATGTCGTAGTAGTAGTAGTAGTAGTAGTAGTAGTAGTAGTAGTAGTAGTAGTAGTAGTAGTAGTAGTAGTAGTAGTAGTAGTAGTAGTAGTAGTAGTAGTAGTAGTAGTAGTAGTAGTAGTAGTAGTAGTAGTAGTAGTAGTAGTAGTAGTAGTAGTAGTAGTAGTAGTAGTAGTAGTAGTAGTAGTAGTAGTAGTAGTAGTAGTAGTAGTAGTAGTAGTAGTAGTAGTAGTAGTAGTAGTAGTAGTAGTAGTAGTAGTAGTAGTAGTAGTAGTAGTAGTAGTAGTAGTAGTAGTAGTAGTAGTAGTAGTAGTAGTAGTAGTAGTAGTAGTAGTAGTAGTAGTAGTAGTAGTAGTAGTAGTAGTAGTAGTAGTAGTAGTAGTAGTAGTAGTAGTAGTAGTAGTAGTAGTAGTAGTAGTAGTAGTAGTAGTAGTAGTAGTAGTAGTAGTAGTAGTAGTAGTAGTAGTAGTAGTAGTAGTAGTAGTAGTAGTAGTAGTAGTAGTAGTAGTAGTAGTAGTAGTAGTAGTAGTAGTAGTAGTAGTAGTAGTAGTAGTAGTAGTAGTAGTAGTAGTAGTAGTAGTAGTAGTAGTAGTAGTAGTAGTAGTAGTAGTAGTAGTAGTAGTAGTAGTAGTAGTAGTAGTAGTAGTAGTAGTAGTAGTAGTAGTAGTAGTAGTAGTAGTAGTAGTAGTAGTAGTAGTAGTAGTAGTAGTAGTAGTAGTAGTAGTAGTAGTAGTAGTAGTAGTAGTAGTAGTAGTAGTAGTAGTAGTAGTAGTAGTAGTAGTAGTAGTAGTAGTAGTAGTAGTAGTAGTAGTAGTAGTAGTAGTAGTAGTAGTAGTAGTAGTAGTAGTAGTAGTAGTAGTAGTAGTAGTAGTAGTAGTAGTAGTAGTAGTAGTAGTAGTAGTAGTAGTAGTAGTAGTAGTAGTAGTAGTAGTAGTAGTAGTAGTAGTAGTAGTAGTAGTAGTAGTAGTAGTAGTAGTAGTAGTAGTAGTAGTAGTAGTAGTAGTAGTAGTAGTAGTAGTAGTAGTAGTAGTAGTAGTAGTAGTAGTAGTAGTAGTAGTAGTAGTAGTAGTAGTAGTAGTAGTAGTAGTAGTAGTAGTAGTAGTAGTAGTAGTAGTAGTAGTAGTAGTAGTAGTAGTAGTAGTAGTAGTAGTAGTAGTAGTAGTAGTAGTAGTAGTAGTAGTAGTAGTAGTAGTAGTAGTAGTAGTAGTAGTAGTAGTAGTAGTAGTAGTAGTAGTAGTAGTAGTAGTAGTAGTAGTAGTAGTAGTAGTAGTAGTAGTAGTAGTAGTAGTAGTAGTAGTAGTAGTAGTAGTAGTAGTAGTAGTAGTAGTAGTAGTAGTAGTAGTAGTAGTAGTAGTAGTAGTAGTAGTAGTAGTAGTAGTAGTAGTAGTAGTAGTAGTAGTAGTAGTAGTAGTAGTAGTAGTAGTAGTAGTAGTAGTAGTAGTAGTAGTAGTAGTAGTAGTAGTAGTAGTAGTAGTAGTAGTAGTAGTAGTAGTAGTAGTAGTAGTAGTAGTAGTAGTAGTAGTAGTAGTAGTAGTAGTAGTAGTAGTAGTAGTAGTAGTAGTAGTAGTAGTAGTAGTAGTAGTAGTAGTAGTAGTAGTAGTAGTAGTAGTAGTAGTAGTAGTAGTAGTAGTAGTAGTAGTAGTAGTAGTAGTAGTAGTAGTAGTAGTAGTAGTAGTAGTAGTAGTAGTAGTAGTAGTAGTAGTAGTAGTAGTAGTAGTAGTAGTAGTAGTAGTAGTAGTAGTAGTAGTAGTAGTAGTAGTAGTAGTAGTAGTAGTAGTAGTAGTAGTAGTAGTAGTAGTAGTAGTAGTAGTAGTAGTAGTAGTAGTAGTAGTAGTAGTAGTAGTAGTAGTAGTAGTAGTAGTAGTAGTAGTAGTAGTAGTAGTAGTAGTAGTAGTAGTAGTAGTAGTAGTAGTAGTAGTAGTAGTAGTAGTAGTAGTAGTAGTAGTAGTAGTAGTAGTAGTAGTAGTAGTAGTAGTAGTAGTAGTAGTAGTAGTAGTAGTAGTAGTAGTAGTAGTAGTAGTAGTAGTAGTAGTAGTAGTAGTAGTAGTAGTAGTAGTAGTAGTAGTAGTAGTAGTAGTAGTAGTAGTAGTAGTAGTAGTAGTAGTAGTAGTAGTAGTAGTAGTAGTAGTAGTAGTAGTAGTAGTAGTAGTAGTAGTAGTAGTAGTAGTAGTAGTAGTAGTAGTAGTAGTAGTAGTAGTAGTAGTAGTAGTAGTAGTAGTAGTAGTAGTAGTAGTAGTAGTAGTAGTAGTAGTAGTAGTAGTAGTAGTAGTAGTAGTAGTAGTAGTAGTAGTAGTAGTAGTAGTAGTAGTAGTAGTAGTAGTAGTAGTAGTAGTAGTAGTAGTAGTAGTAGTAGTAGTAGTAGTAGTAGTAGTAGTAGTAGTAGTAGTAGTAGTAGTAGTAGTAGTAGTAGTAGTAGTAGTAGTAGTAGTAGTAGTAGTAGTAGTAGTAGTAGTAGTAGTAGTAGTAGTAGTAGTAGTAGTAGTAGTAGTAGTAGTAGTAGTAGTAGTAGTAGTAGTAGTAGTAGTAGTAGTAGTAGTAGTAGTAGTAGTAGTAGTAGTAGTAGTAGTAGTAGTAGTAGTAGTAGTAGTAGTAGTAGTAGTAGTAGTAGTAGTAGTAGTAGTAGTAGTAGTAGTAGTAGTAGTAGTAGTAGTAGTAGTAGTAGTAGTAGTAGTAGTAGTAGTAGTAGTAGTAGTAGTAGTAGTAGTAGTAGTAGTAGTAGTAGTAGTAGTAGTAGTAGTAGTAGTAGTAGTAGTAGTAGTAGTAGTAGTAGTAGTAGTAGTAGTAGTAGTAGTAGTAGTAGTAGTAGTAGTAGTAGTAGTAGTAGTAGTAGTAGTAGTAGTAGTAGTAGTAGTAGTAGTAGTAGTAGTAGTAGTAGTAGTAGTAGTAGTAGTAGTAGTAGTAGTAGTAGTAGTAGTAGTAGTAGTAGTAGTAGTAGTAGTAGTAGTAGTAGTAGTAGTAGTAGTAGTAGTAGTAGTAGTAGTAGTAGTAGTAGTAGTAGTAGTAGTAGTAGTAGTAGTAGTAGTAGTAGTAGTAGTAGTAGTAGTAGTAGTAGTAGTAGTAGTAGTAGTAGTAGTAGTAGTAGTAGTAGTAGTAGTAGTAGTAGTAGTAGTAGTAGTAGTAGTAGTAGTAGTAGTAGTAGTAGTAGTAGTAGTAGTAGTAGTAGTAGTAGTAGTAGTAGTAGTAGTAGTAGTAGTAGTAGTAGTAGTAGTAGTAGTAGTAGTAGTAGTAGTAGTAGTAGTAGTAGTAGTAGTAGTAGTAGTAGTAGTAGTAGTAGTAGTAGTAGTAGTAGTAGTAGTAGTAGTAGTAGTAGTAGTAGTAGTAGTAGTAGTAGTAGTAGTAGTAGTAGTAGTAGTAGTAGTAGTAGTAGTAGTAGTAGTAGTAGTAGTAGTAGTAGTAGTAGTAGTAGTAGTAGTAGTAGTAGTAGTAGTAGTAGTAGTAGTAGTAGTAGTAGTAGTAGTAGTAGTAGTAGTAGTAGTAGTAGTAGTAGTAGTAGTAGTAGTAGTAGTAGTAGTAGTAGTAGTAGTAGTAGTAGTAGTAGTAGTAGTAGTAGTAGTAGTAGTAGTAGTAGTAGTAGTAGTAGTAGTAGTAGTAGTAGTAGTAGTAGTAGTAGTAGTAGTAGTAGTAGTAGTAGTAGTAGTAGTAGTAGTAGTAGTAGTAGTAGTAGTAGTAGTAGTAGTAGTAGTAGTAGTAGTAGTAGTAGTAGTAGTAGTAGTAGTAGTAGTAGTAGTAGTAGTAGTAGTAGTAGTAGTAGTAGTAGTAGTAGTAGTAGTAGTAGTAGTAGTAGTAGTAGTAGTAGTAGTAGTAGTAGTAGTAGTAGTAGTAGTAGTAGTAGTAGTAGTAGTAGTAGTAGTAGTAGTAGTAGTAGTAGTAGTAGTAGTAGTAGTAGTAGTAGTAGTAGTAGTAGTAGTAGTAGTAGTAGTAGTAGTAGTAGTAGCTTAGACGTGAATATACAAGTATCAGTAATGATCAATCTGAACAGATTGTTTACTTTTCACGTAGAACCAGCAACATATTTCTTGAATCTAAGACTTTTTCTGCACAGTATGCAATATATGAGTTTCATTTATACCATGAACTGTGATATGTTTTATCTTCTTATCTTGAACAACATCTGACACATATAGATCTCGCGACTTCTAAAGAATTTCTACTTTCACCATAAGAAGTCGTAATAATAATAATGGTGATAATAATAACAACGTTGCGTTATCATAATATGTAATAAAAGGAGTAGTATAGTCAAGGTAATTACGAAGAAAACGAATCAAGGTGGATTAGGAAAGAGATAATCACAAAACGAATAGGTTTATAACATGAATTTGAAGTGTCTGGTGATTTAGTTGTGGACCACGGTAAACATGGAGGCTGGATATACCTCTTCTGGATATATTAGTTCGGCTTTCAGGAGTTGATCCAGGTGACTTCAGCTATGTTGAGTACCCGTAGTATAGCTCCTGTTTTAAACCCATATAAATCGTGTTTTTGATTCACGGTTTCTTTACTGACCATGTCAGGTGTGAATTTAATCAAATTTACTCTAAAATTACTTGATTGAGAATGTTATATTATAAGTTTATCTATATATATTTATTGATGGAATGGTTCAACCGGAAAATGTATGGAAATATCATTGTTTGCAGTAGTAATGTAAATAACTGCAGTCAAAACGAAATGAATATACGGAACAACACAGATGAACAATGAATGATGTCTGTGGTGGATTTGAATTGCCTGGACTCCAATAGAGAACTCACGTACCCGGCATATAGAACATGGAAGCGACCATCCTTATAGAGCAACTAATCAATAAGTCGGTTCAAATGATAAAACATCAACCTTCTGAGCAACAGATCTCTTAATAATCTCAATATTTGATCAGAGTTTTCAATGTTGAACATCATCTTATGAAGTGAATTGTAATGTGATTGTCAAAAATCAAGTAACTGAAAGGATAGCTTTATGATAATCAACATAATGTTTGTTACTTTTATATTTCAAGTAGACGGGGATGATGATGATCCCGGACATCATGTTCATCTCCACTTTATAAATATATATTTGCTACTTTGTGGTAGATCGAATCATCATTTTTGATAGCACCCTGATCATATATGCCGCTATAGACCTTCTAAGAAATCTTCCAGATCTTTTCCTGAATATCTACAATACTGGAGTGTGAAGGCAGTTACGACCAGATTAATTTCAATTCGGAACTGTTAAGGAAAGGAAACTTACAGAATCTAAATCACATTACCTGCATGAATGATACACAAATCGAACTACTATTGAACATTTGTTTGAATAAATCAATCTATTAAATGAGTGAATAGCACAATATCACAGCATTCAATCTGTGTAGATTTCATTTATTCAAAACTAAAACCGAAATGTGCACTTCTGTGTTGATGAAACACAAAGATAACCATGTGTAATACATCATCAAGGAGATTGATGTTTGAAGACACGATTGAATTGTGAATCACTGTTTTATTTTCATAGATTACATGTTAAGACAGAAAGGTTGAGTGAACAATAGCTTGTGATTGAGTCCCGAATTGTAGCGAAATATAGATTGTTGTATATTTATCAGAATTTCCCTAGCCAGCATATGTCGACAATGGGAAGAACGAGTATCGTGGAATGAAAACTCATACAACTGTGGTGCATACTACTTTTGTCTGTCGACATAATAGTTTGTAACACTGATCGGAAGTGGAAAACCTTACACCAGAAGGTTAGGAAGATGGAGTTGAAGAGAATATAGGTGGAACAAGAGAGTGTGGACTGGAAGAATCATGCAGAATGTGATGGATAAATGATGGAAGTTCGCAAATGAAGTATTCAATGCAATGGTTGTGCTATTTTACCAAGGTTGCCAAATGCCCTGGTGGTATGGCCGAGAGTGTATGTATGAATGTATGAAAATAGTTAACTATTTTAGCATTCCTCAGTTACTGTCTCAATCGATATTCATTGAATCGTAGATAAAGTGGCCTAATGAAGTGAATTATCACGAGAACTTATCAATTTCCAAACCTAATTCATACAAACACCACAAACCTGTATATCGTATGCATTGAGGAATAAGATTTGCAAAGACAAATTGCGAATTCTGTCTGATTCATCGCATTGAATATAACATAACACCACGTTCGATCGTCATTTCTCTTTACATCCGATAACATTTTCAAGGTAAAATTGATTACTCCTTCTTCAATCTCAGTGTAAACAACGTGTTTGTCTAATGAACAAAGACATATTTGTGTTGACCTCTTCTTTGTTTATAGAATCAACTATGATCATACTTTGTTTATGATTGATCACCTCATTGCATCTCACTAATCATTAAATAATATGGTATTCTCTATTGTGTATCGTGGGTGTCATATGAATGTTGGTTGTTGTTTATTTGGCTGACATCAATGATGAGTGAAATTCTCATTTTACATATTATTATTACTACTTTTCCGAAAAGAAGATGAAGTGGAAGCAAATGTTCTGGTTGTCAATTCCTAGGTGATCTTGCTCCAGCTGTGAATAAACACTGTCACCATTTACCAATTAATTTCAAATGATTGTAGTGGTGGTGGTTTATTCTTATAAAATCATCCAGTTTCACCTCCGTTATTTGTCAATCTGTGAAATGTCCATTTTTAAATTCGGTTCTTTAAAAGTCGACTAGTTGTCACGTCCTGTGTATCATTGGTGAAGGAGACTGTGGAGAATAATCTTGACTAAATAATACACAGCACGTTCTGTATATCTTTTTATACCAATCACTGTGACGGATACACTCATCATTAGCCGATATTCTGAATAAACACATTTGGCTATTTACCAGATGTTTGCTTTCACTGAACATTAATTAAGGTTGGATATCATAGTTTAATGGACATTGAATGGAATCCTATGTGTGTCTGGATTCGTTTAGACATATCAGATGATGTTGAAATTTTTCTTTATAGCTTGAGACCTAGCAACAGAAGACTGCAGTTAACACAAAACTGCTTTGACTAGACAATTCACATAAATTCTTATTCAAGTCATTCCTGTAGCTCGTCTAATGTTATTGCCAATCATATATCCATTCAATCATTATGTAAATGAGGAAGTGCAACTTGACAGTGCTCGATATCAGCAAAACCCATTGGACACAACATAGACAGATGATTTGGATTCGGTGGAGATGTTAATGTACTGTGTTTACAATGAAGGTGCTCTACACTCTCAAATGTTTGCTCTGATGCCGTGTCAAGAAGCATCTAGAGCACTTGTGCGATGCGAATCTCATGAACCCAGAAACACCAAAGCGTCCTTCGAAACAAAGAAGGAGGGAATCATAATGAATGCTACTAAATGTTATGCAATGATAGCCACGACAACGACAAAGATCGAGTTTTCGAGGTTGTGCAATCGATCATGGAGAAGTTCTCGGCAAAAGACCTGATCATCCTCATTGGAGGCCTGAACGCCAAAGTAGGAATGTATAACATCGGCTTTGAAAATATCATGGGACGACATTGACTGACTGGGAGAAAGAAATGGAAATGGAGAGAGATTTGTAAATCTGTGTGCATTCAACAAATTAATTACAGGCATCACAACATCCCCTCGCAAATGCATTCACAAAGCTACACGGTTCTCACCGGATCACATTGCATAGAATCAGACAGATCAAGATAAAAAAAACGGGGAGAAACCAATCCTCAACAGCCGAACAATAACATAGGAAATGAAGGCCCGAGCTGAATAAACGGAAGCAAAATAGCAAGTGAAGGTGAGCATTACAGCCAACAAGCAAACGTACGTGGAAGACCCAGCAACAAGAGCAGAAAAAGCCGTAGCTGCAAGAAACATGAAACAACTATACGAAACGACAAACAAACTGGCAGGAAAATACAGAAAACCAGGGTGACCGGTAAAGGAGAAAGTAGTCAAGTCAATCAATGAGATTCAAGATCAGAGGAATAGATGGGTGGAATACATCAAGCAACTCTTGAATAGACCAGCTTAGTTGTGTCCACCAGAGATCGAAGCAGCACACACTGACCTTCTTATATATGTCACTCCTGCTAATGAAACAAAAACCTCTGAACTGTGTGCATTTTCTTAACAAACATATTTGTGTTGACCTCGTTTGTTTATAGAAACACTAATGATCATACTTTGTTGTCAATTATCACCTCATTCCATCTCATAATGAGATCATATGGTAGTGTCTATACTCTATTCTGTCTAGTGACTGTAATATAAATCTTAGTTAGAATAAAATATTTCGCTTCGTAATAATCTGTTAATGTGACTGACAAAATGATTAGAATTCTGAAGTCATAGAAGATTACTACTTCCGTTAAGGAAAATCAAGTGAAAACAATCACTGTTGTGGTATTTATAAAACTCTTGTGTCCAATCCTCATGGCCTTTCATTCGCTGATGTACGTGTAGTTGTATGTTGTTCAACTGTGAATCAGAGATCTGCATTATTGTATGGTAAGTTTGCAACTGGCCAAACACTGGTAACAGACATAGAAATGTATCACATTGTATTTTAGCTACAGCTAAATTAATAGAAATGGACTGTTGATTTTATCTCTTATCTCAGAGGAATGATCGCGATTTGCTCGTTCATTTCGTTTGGAATCAGCAAGAGACTTCACCAAACAGTACTATATCATCTGCGTACTGTACGTAGGTAAGAGGACCTCTAGGAAGAAGATCAGTGCCCGAGAATTCAATCGACGAGAACAATAATTCCATCAGTAGGTCCATGATGAAGTTAAACAAAAATGGAGACAGTGGACAACCTTGACAGACACCAATTGATGTTGAGAAATCAGATGACAGTTCGCCGTAAGCTCTGACTCCACCAGTAGTGTTCGAGTAAAGAGCCTTTACGTGTTTATGTACTTCTGAGGTGAGCCTTTCAATGACAGACGCTATCACAGAACCTCTCGATCCACGCAGTCAAATGCTGCTTTTTAATCAAGAAAAACTATCATCAGTACACATTCATATATATATACCACTCTAATCCCTAGGAAATTGATCCGTTTCACAGACAATGAAATGAAAATGTCTTTCAGGTCACTTGTGATTGCCATCGGTTGATATTCGCCTTAGACTACTTCTGATTAGCTCTCCATATCAACATATCTCCTATTCATTATAGTTATCTAATTATGAAAATATGTCACTAATTTTTTATGTAACTACAGTATAATTTCCATACACAAACTTTCAGGAGTATTGCTCATTTTTCCTAATTGGTTCGATATTCACTAAATATGATGTGTATGGATTTATCATTTATTTATATCAAATGGAAGGGGCCAATCGGTAGAGGACCGTGATTATCCAACTACTTATAATATGTAGAACTTGACAGTATGACATATCTGTAATCTTGAAAGGATTGCAGTTCTCTGAGTACATTGAACCCATATTGCCAAATATCAGTCAAAGAAGCTGATATTGATCTACTAGGATTGAAAGTGATCTCCAGTAATATTCAGATATTAATGTTACTAGTATTTGATCATAGGTGTCCTCAAGTTCACCGGATGTTCCGTCGTCACATCATTGAATAACATTTTCAAACCCTAATGTTTCCGATTACTGCTGATACTTTTACTACCTCTACCACTATGGGACTTGAATGAACATTTGTATATGTGTGCCGATGTGGTATAGCAACTTGAACTGATGTACGTACGTACGTAAGTGAGAAATTGTACTGACTGACTGAACATTAACTATAATGAAGTTTGTCTAATCACATTCCGACTTTATTCGTTTGGGTTAAGAAGCTCTTGGTTTACGTTAAATCTACCACATTATCCAACAATATCGATTTAGTCTACACTCACAAATATCTAAATAAATCAATTATTCTTTCCAGAAACATTCTACAATTAACATTAAAGAGAAAAGTGAAGATGAACACTGATAAGATGGATGTCATACATACCAATGCTAATTATAATGAGATGAATGATAGTTTAAGAAAACACTTATTTAAAAAGAAATAAAGACAAACTTGATCTTCATGTCATAGAAATTAATTCACACAATTGTTTCTAACTACTTTTATCGATATAAGTAGTTAAATATGACTGAAATTTGATAGTAACCAATTTCTCACAGCATATTCATGTGATTTTTTCACTGAAAATGTAACATAATTAGGCAAATTTTGCCATGAATCATTAATCTTTTGTCCATTTTCTTCAGTATTCATTTCAGTAGTCTGTAAAAGACTCAATTCAGTCAAAGTATTTGCAAAGATTCTTTCATCGATCTTATGGCTGTCCTTATTATCATCATCATCATCTTTGGGTGAAGAATTGAGTTGATTTTTAACTTGTATTAGTAATGATTGAAGATGATCTAACTTCTTTCGAACTTCATCTATTTCATTTTCATCAAGACTAGATATTGAATGTGGAGATTTTTCTTTTGGAATATAAGAACATCGTGGAGACAATGGACTCATCCTATTCCTTATGTAAATTGAAGAAAAACAGAAAACATATATGGTTGATAATCATCAAGAGAAATACAAACATGTATGAAGTTGCAACTGTCATTCAAAACTATTAAACCAAGGAATTACAATTTCATAGATTAAAAAAAGATCAATCGTTGGATGAATATCGCCAATGATAACATCTCAGATTATAAGGATATTTGATGTCTATTTTAAACGCGCAGAGAATATCAATCTTATCAGAGTTGAACATATGCCTTAGCTAATGAACGCCAATTAGTACAATGAGAGATGAGGTAGGATTTCGTGTAGATCGCCTATAGAGATGTAAATAATGTCAAGGATTAGATAACTTGTGATAAATAAGGTTTCCAATGGTTTATGATAGAATTGAAAATGTAAACCATTATATTTTAACTCATAGTGATGATGAGTCTATAATTTAGAATAGACATCTTTTAAGTCTATCGAAGCGTCCAACTCACCCGAGTGAGATACGCGAAAAGCCGAAGTTCCAAAACAACGATTTGTCTACAATAGCGGTTCTTTATTAAATAATACACAACATTCAGTTAGAAACCTCAACTTTTGAGGTGTCTGGGGCGTTTAAACGCGTCCTTCAAGAATGAAACTAAGGGAGGCTTCCTTTAAGTGTAACATAAAGAATAATTATAACATACGATAGTACAAAGGACAGCTGATAGCTGTGACTAAATTTGATAAATGTTTATCAACAACCGAAAACCCGAACGAAGAGCACACAATATGGAAACTGTTGCGTTTAAACATATGCACGAAACTGTGGATAACCGCTGCAGTGATTAAGGTACAGTAATCATAATAATAAGTACAGTGACAAGTACAATAAACGTTATAATTATGTGTGAACATTTCAGAATATTACAGTACAATTTGCGTTACAATATAAGTGTGAAAATTGTCCGGAATACAACTGCTTACTGAATGTAAACCAGTAGTATAATACAGTATACAGAAGAGTAGAAGGGGATAAAATAGAAACAATGGAAAACAAACTTAACAACATCTTTCGTGTTTTCAATAATCTTTCAACTGATTTCAATCATATCTTCATGAAAAATTATACAATCTCCTCTATCTAGTCATATATCGAGCATTATCAGTGATTGATGTCTGACAATCACCAGCAGCACTGGACGGTCATCCAGTGCTTCCTGGTTTTCAATGGTCGTTTAACATCATTTGGTTCATGATCTCAATCAAAATATATTGATAAGTTCTCTACACAGACTGTTAATTCGAACGATTGATTTAACTTGAAATGAATAAAGAGTCTGCTTGTTTTTTGACTAACATTTTTAATGAAATACCATTCTACGTGGAGTTCACTTTTCCATAGACTAGTCACTACACAATCCTTCTATTCTAGACATCTACTTCTCGACTTATACGATTTATTACACTAACAGAAGAATAGGAGGATGAATGATAAAGATTGATTTCTGTTGTGACTTTATGATCCGCTTGTTATCAGGTAATCTATTCGCCAATCAAAATATGACTTATTCGCTCTTATACTGTACTAAACTAATGACATCCAACCGGTCTAATCAGCCTAGCGTCCTAATGGTTCGTTGCTCGCCTAGCCCATCCATAAATTGAAAGTAATCTAAGAACAATAAAGCGTGTACTAATAATCTATAGGTTAAAATAAAGCTTATAATAAGAGGAATATAGATATACGCAATCTAGTTACTGAATATGTATACCATAAGAATACATAGATAACATTATTCGAAGAATAGGTCACAGACGCTACTCGTAATTCAATCTTCACAAGGATATAACAATTTACATGTACAGAAAATAGATCGAAAAGTACATCTTATCTAACTTGTTATTCTTATATTCTTATTTAAACACATTGATACAACGAAGCATCGAATAGATATGCTTCATACTTTATCATTCGATTTGTGTGAAAGCTGTGATACTGCACGGGTGCCCAAACCGAGGTTTGTAACTAATTTAGTGTATTATTTAATAACGAACTGCCATTGTGGACACATCGTTGTTTTGCGAACTTCAATTTCGCGCGTATTTCAATCGGATGACTTGGACGCCCTGGATGGATTTAACATAGAATAAACTGTTAAGTAAATAAGCACATACTGTAGTGATACATTTAAAAAGTATACCTCATTCTGGATTTACGACCATCTGTATTGAATGTGATCATATCAATTGCAGAATTGTCATTGGTTCGATATAAAATGTTCTCAGCTAATTGTTCATTATTATTATTATCATTATTATTATTATTATGCATAGCATTGTCACAATCGTGAATGTGTCGAATATGTCGAAGTTGTATTGATTTATTCAACGCTGTTGGATTTGAAAATTCATTCCATCGATATGTTTTTTGATTTATAATCCTGAATAGATAAAACCAATTACAGTTAGAGATAATCAATAGAAAACTCTGATCATTCAATATGTATTGGTTCAAGTTGATGGAGTCAAAGAAGAGATCAATATGATCTTAATGGTAAACATAAGCAGTGTAGACTCCAAACTCTGCCTGCAGTCCTTCCGAGGGCTACTGCCGGCCCCAACCCCGGATAAGGAAGGAGGGTTGGGCATGGGGTTAGCGACACCATCCTGTAGAAAACTAACTGTAACACAATTTCTGTCATTTCACTCATCTCTTGGTATATACAAAATTAATTATGTGGTTTCAAATCAGGTACTCCATACCTACTGATATAGTCGAAGTTCAGTAGTCACCAACTACTTGACTTTAAATGAAGCTAGAACAAATATAGATGTAGAATATTATGAATTCAGTATTGTTGTCGTGGTTCCTCAAATCGCCCCCAAATGCCCTGATATGGCCGAGAGTGGGGAGAGTCCGCTCTCCCTCTTGAATGCTCTCACATGGCCACGCGTATATAGCCTCTGACAGGGAAGTCCCTCTCACTACCTTCTCGTGTTGTTTACGAACATGAGAGGACGAAAAGAGAATGTCCAACGGTTTAACTGGTCACAAACCAAATCAATGGTGCACATTGGCTCCAGTATTCTGAGGGAACAAATGACGTATGAACCAATCGTTGGTTGCCGGCTACCATGGAACTGCACCTCCTTACGAAGCTCCACTACCTTGTGGATCAAACCTTTAGGTCGAAGGCTCGAGGTGTGGCCCTCTAAGGAAACCATCTGCTCCGGTTTGGGCACTCGTGCGGTATCACAGCCCTCCAACAAATCAAAGGAGATTTGCTTGCCGCATATGTACTATCTCCTTTTTGAATACAAAGATCCAGTCTAAGTTTTCTTTATCGTGATCGCTTCACCATAAGCATAAGATATGTCGATGATATGCCCGATGTCAAGGGAATACCGAGCTATTGCACTGTTGGGAGCCCTAGTCCTTCTCAGCCTCAATTTCTTTGGAACATCCTCAGAAATGTAAACATGTAATCTTCTCTCGATTCTTCCAATATATGTTCTTTGGCATGTACATGTAAATTGGTAAATGCAATTGGAGCTACTGAGAAAATTTGACTATTCCTTTTGTAAATATCACTTAATCGTTTTAAACCTGATTGTTCTTGCACTTTCATACTAATTGCTCTTTGTTCCCGTTCTTACCTCTTTGATCTTCTTAACATGTTGCCGTCAGACATTCTATTCTTGACTATCATTATATACTACTTATGTCGATATAAGTACCACATATCACAATACAAAAATATGTTCTTTGATGAATAATCTTGAATCGACATT